TAGGGGTTTAGGGCTTAGGGTTGTTTAGGGGTTTAGGGGTTTGGGGGTTTGGGGAGTGTGGCAATCTGGTTTCTTTCCAGGTCTTTGTGGGTTGAGGAGTTTAGGGTTTAGGGTAGGGTGTATGAGGATTCATCTCAACTTTGCACAAGCCTTCCAAACCCTAAACCCTAAACTCTAAACCCAAAACTAAACCCTAAACCCTAAACCCTAAACCCAAACCCTAAACCCTAAACCCTATACTTCCTAAAATTGGCCCTGCATCTTACGCCGTGGGCCCAGGTACGACCATGACATACCTGGTGATCAAAGAGCTCATCCGGGAGCACTCCCAAAAGTGAGGCATTTCCAGGGTTCAGGGTTTAGGGTTTTAGGGTTTAGGGTTTAGGGTTTAGGGTTTAGGGTTCAGGGTTTAGGGTTTAGGGTTCAGGGTTTAGGGTTTAGGGAGCACTCCCAACAGTGAGGCAGAGGCAGCCGGTAAGAGAAAGCGCCACGGTTAGAATGTCTTGAGATGGAAGATTCGCGAAGATAAACCCCAAACGCTAAGACCGCAAAGTGCTCAGACCACAAGGACATCCGAGGCGTCTCCTCAAAGCAGTTTTCAGGTATGGTGGTGCTATCCGGCTTTGGTTCTGCCCAAACCCTAAAAACTGCCAGGGTTTTCACGTGCAAGGCCCTAACCGCTCCATCCGGTACCCTCAACTGCTAAGCCCCTAAACCCTAAAGCCTGCCTGAACCTACCGGCACCATCTTTCTTGTAGGGTCCTTATCAAGCTCAAGTCTATGTTACACAAGAGTAGGCGATGGTAGTTGGAGGCACACTAAACCCTAAACCCTCAGCCCTAAGCCCTAAGCCCTAAACCCTAAACCCTAAATCCTAAGCCCTAAACCCTAAATCAACCCACAGCCCGAAGCCCTAAACCCTAATCCCTAAGCCCAAAGCCCTGAACCACATGCTACCTTGCGCAAGGACGGTCGGATCTTCGGCTTCGGGATTCAGGGGTTGGAGTTTAGGGTTTAGGGTTCAGGGGCCAAGCCTCGGTTTGTAGGGTTTAGGGCTAGAGTTTGGGTGGCTGTGTCTTAGTAGGGAAAGGGTGAATGGGCTATAAGGTGCCCTTAGATGGGGATCCATTTCCCCCATTCCCTGCTAAGAATCCGGGAGTTGAGGGGTTAAGGGGTTTCGGGGGCTTTTTAGGGGGTTTAGGGTTCAGGCTCATACCGGTGTACTATCCCCAGTCTACCTCATGACTAGGCTCTCTGCTTTCTGTGTTTCTGCAGGCAGCAGGCCACTTGACCTTCGCGAATGCCAGTATTGGCGTCTGCTCTTGCGGCGGAAAGAGCGGGTCCACTTTATGCACCCTAATCCCTAAACCCTAAACCCCAAACCCTTAAAAGTTTCTACCGTTTCGAAAGATAGCGGTCGGTACAGAGTGTTGAGGTCCTTTCCGAGACTTCCACAGGTCAAGAAGCCGAAGCCGTCAAGCACACATTTTCTGGCAAGTGGGAAATACGTACTTGGGTAGTTTTCTAAATTAGGGTCCCGTCTAGGGTCCTTTTCATAAGGGTGCCATACTATTTGAGGACCCAAGGGGTACCCTAACTTAGAGAACCATCCGCTTTAGATTTTTGGGGTTTAGGGTTTAGGGGACCCTAAACCCTAAACCCTAAACCCTAAACCCTAAACCCTAAACCCTAAACCCTAAACCCTAAACCCTAATTTCCCCCCAGCCTTCCTCAGGGTTCCTGATTTTTGTGATACGGAAGGAGAGGCCCAAAACCCAGGTCTACCTATAGTCTCCATTGTAGTTCCTTTTGGGGATACCTTATACAATCCTTAATAAATCTTTTTCGTTAAACCCAAAAGGGAATTACAATGGAGACTGCAGGTAAGTATTAAAGCCCTACATTACTGCTCACAGCTTGGGTGTTGCACATCGTGCCAGTAGCAGTCTTGCTAACATGTTGGCATGGTGGTATACGACCGCCCCTCACCTATAAACCTCCAAATCCCTGACTCGTAATACCTTAAAACACGAAACCCTAATCCCTTAACCCTAAACCCCCACAGCCCTAAACCACGAACCCCCAATCCCCTAACCCCCGACTGAGCCGATTCAGACGTGAAAGCAAACTCCGAAAAGCCCGAAGCCCCTAATCCTAAACCCTCAAACCTAAACCCTAAACCCTCAAACTTGAAGAGCCCTAAACCCTAAACCCTAAAACATGAAGAAGCGCCTCGTCAGCCGAAACCAACGCCGTCAGGAGCGCTCCAGCCTCTCCACGCAACCTCCTCAGATTAAGAATCCACCTTGTAAAACCATCTAAGAAAAGGGGCCTTAATCATTACCTATACTATTTTGGGGGTTCCTTATTATAACTATAGTATAATATACCCCCAAAACCCTATGCGAATCATCAAGGCCCCGACATTACAGCCCTTAAAAAACCTGTTGAGATGCCGGTGTCCCATCTTTACGAAAACGCACCAAAGCCCTTGCTCTCTTATCTTTGCGAAACAGACCGAAAGAGTAATACAGGGGCTTAAATAGTTACCACTACTATTTTGGGGGTTACGAATTATAATTACAGCATATTGAGCCCCCAAAACACCTGCTTGTAATCATTAACCCTAAACCCTAAACCCTAAACCGTAAGGCCACCTACCCTACGGGGACTTCCAGCGAGATGGAAAAAGGTGCTCAAAAACAACCCTAAACCCTAAACCCTAAACCCTAAACCCTAAACCCTAAACCCTAAACCCCTAAACGCTAAACCCTAAACCAAAAAACCGTAAGGCCCCCCATATCAAACCCTAAAACCCCCGCGCGCCGTTCTGATGAGAGCGCCTTTGCTGCTACTTCTCAGTGCCTCGGTGGCGGTCGGACCCCTGGTGGAAATCTTTCTGGCTTTGAGGGTTAAGGGTTAAGGGTTTAGGGTTTAGGGTTTAGGGTTTAGGGTGTAGGGTTTAGGGATGAGGGTGTATGGTGTAGAGCTTGGGGTTCAGGGTCTAGGGTGTCGGGTACTAGGGTTGCTTTCAGGGTTCTATAATCAGGGGCTCTCTAGGGGGCTCTTTCAAGATTTATATTCTTATAAGGTTTTTATGAGGTTTCATGTATATACTGCGAAACTAGGGTTGAGAGTTTGATTTTAGAAGGTTTATACGGTTCTTTAGGGTTTTATCTGTAAGGATTATACGGTTCCATGGAGTTCTACGATTGTTCGGTAGGGCTTCGGGTTTAGGGTTTAGGGGTTTAGGGCGTAGGGGTTTAGGGTTTAGGGCTTAGGGCTCTACAAGAGTTCAGGGTGTGTCAGTGAGGCGCTGCAGGGTGTGCGGTGTTTCCAGGGTTTGGGCTATGGGGCTTAAGGCTTTCATAGTTGTTTTTTGACAGAAGGGTTTTGTGTGGTTTTGAGGGTTTCGGCAGGGTTCTTGACTTTCCTGGTGCGGGTTGAGGGTTTTGGGCGTCAGGTTTGGGGTGTGGACGTTGGGGTGAAGTTTTGGCGCTGAGGGTTTGGGGCATGGGGTTTCGGGTAAATGGCCGACTCCTCTGGTTTTGGCACTTCGGGTGCATGCAAAGTTTAGGGTTTAGGGTTTAGGGCCCTAGACCCTAAACCCTAAACCCTAAACTTAGGGTGCTTCAGAGCAGAGGATCGATTTGGGGTTCTGGGTTTGGGTTTGGGGTTTAGGCTTCTGGGTTTGGGTTTAGGGTTTAGGCTTTAGGGTTTAGAGTTTGGGGTTTAGGCTTTAGGGTTTAGGGGGGTTTAGGGATTACGGCCGTTTCGGTTTCAGTGAGACTGGATGGTAAGCTGGAGCAGGTGGGTGGCCTTAAACGGTCCCTAAACCCTAAACCCTAAACCCTAAACCCCGCGCCTTATGCCGCAGAGCATTCCTCTAGGGTTTGGGTTCACGAGTACTGGGCTGGGGTTGCATCGTGGGGCTTTGGCGTTCATCTTGACCTTAAGCCCTAAATCAAGGCATAGACACCTCGCAGCCTAGCAACCTAAACCCTAAACCCTAAACCGCCGAATTTTGGAGGGAGTGAAGAGAGTCGCTTAGGGCTCTGAGCGGTTCGTGCTAGCCATCCCCCAATCCCCCTATAAGGGTTCCTTTCAGAGCTCCTTTAAGGGCTGAGGGTTTAGGGTTTAGGGTGTAGGGGTTTGGGGGTTTAGGGGTTTAGGGTTTAGGGTTTAGGGTTTGGGCAAGGGTTCCTTTCAGAGCTCCTTTGAGGGTTCCTTTAAGGGCTCCTGTCTTTTATGGCCTAAACCCTAGACCCTAAATCCTAGACCCTAAACCCCAAGTTCTAGACCCCAAATCCTGAAACCCTAAATCCTTAACCCTAGACAAGAACCCTTGTCTAGTTCTCTTCAAGTATATGGGCAGTTCTCCAAATTAGGGTCCCTTTTAGGATCCTTTTTATAAGGGTGCCCTACTGTATTGGGGACCTAAAATGGGACCCTAATTTGGAGAACCCTAAACCCTAAACCCTAAACTCTAAACCCTAAACCCTAAACCCTAAATCCTAATTTAGAGAACTACCCATATATGAAAATAAACCCCCGAGGATGGAGAATCCTGGTGCCGGGAGTCTCTTCAACTC